AAGAAGAAGAAGAAGAAGAAGAAGAAGAAGAAGAAGAAGAAGAAGAAGAAGAAGAAGAAGAAGAAGAAGAAGAAGAAGAAGAAGAAGAAGAAGAAGACAACAACAATAACAACAACAACAACAACAACAACAACAGCTGCTGCATCAGCAACAACAACAACAACAACAACAACAACAACAACAACAACAACAAAAGTCCATTTACATAGAGCTCATACTCACGCTCAACTGTGTGTTCTATGCGCTCTACAACTACTCATTATTGTTTGCCACAGAAATATTCGGTTCACGTCGCGGGTCGAATTCGATCAATGGCAAATCGACTGTTGCCTCGCCCCTCCATTCACTTGACTCAACTACAACAACGACATCACAGTTTATTGGGGTTTTCGTGATGCATGTGAGGTCCAGAAGGAGGGCAAGAGTGTACTTTCACTTTTACCAAACCCTTTACGCAGTATTAAGAGCTGCACGGCTATACTTTACTTTTCTCGTCAATCTGTGTACTGAATTCTCAAAGTGTGTTAGTAAACTTCGAAACTTGTTTAAGACGGCCATTTATTATTAAAAAGCCTTGTTTAACTCCTAGTCCGAAAATGCTTTTGCCTCTGGCATTGGACATCAGTCTGAAATTTCAACAAAAACGACGACAAGTCTTGGATGTTTTTATTTTTTTCTTCCATTATTTCTCAGCTTACAAAAGCTGAAGGTTAGACCGGTTAGAAACGATATTTTTTTCAGATCCTAAGGATGCCATCATGAATGTTTCACAATAGTTGTGGGTGGTTGGCGAGCACCCGCCAACTACCAGCTTATAATGTTTAATGGTCAGTGCACATTTACTTAAACGATCGGCTTCTGATTCAGTAAGATCTGAAGGATGGTGATGACGTTTCCATTATTTTGGCATGACCTGAAGCGATTGTCCAAAACCAAAACCCTTCAGATTTTATCTCCGTTGCAAACAAAGGAGGTGGGCAGCTTCGACCTGCCTGTCAGGACCAACCCGGTATGAGTGGGGTGTTTACAACGTCCAAGCAGAAAGGTGAAGAAGCAAAATATTCTCAACTCAGGAATCGAGCTCATGTCTTCTGGATGCAACAGCGACGCGCTTTTCCCTTTCGTCAACCCGCAGTCACCTCCCGAATCGTCAGCCACCTCCCAACCTTTGACACGGGTCAAACTTCCATCTGTTTA